GACGATTTCGGATGGAAATGTTATTAACGAATGATAAACCTGTTCGGTGGTGCATAATTCGCCCCCTGATGATTTAATATTAGCGTTCTGGCGTGGCGGCGATCGTGTAGGTGTGGATTTGCATGTGTTTGCGGCGTGTGTGCACGGTAGCCGCAAACGATAACGCCAAATGTTGGATTAATTGTAGCGTTGCGATACCTGTTTACGCGGAAACTGTTATCCGGCTCGGCTGATTATTTAATTACATCGGTGGTCGCAGTCGGTATCGGTGCACAACCTATGGATTAATAGAGACTCTCCTAGGTTAATCTTTTCCGATTGAGTGCATTCGCATAATCATTGTTAGAATAATTTATATATTATATATATATAATTACTATTAAAATGAACGCTCGATTTGAAGTATTTTGCAATGTATATTTAAGTTTCGATGATCGATCAGAGGTGAGTTTTTCTAAATAATTTCTTCCATAGACGAGTGTCGAATAGAGTTGGGCATTAATTAATTGAATAAGTAATTGGTTAAAAATTTCGAATAAAATTACTTATAAGTAATTACTTATTAAAATGCTCAAATAACTAATTTATTCGTGGCTATTATCGATCGTGGCTTTTCATATAATCTCGACCATTTGGCATTGCAATTATTTGCAATGGATTATTATTATTATGTTTTGAACAATTATTAAAGCAACTTTATTCGTAATAATCAATCAAATTTTATTAGTTTCAAATACAGAAAATAATATTCTTCCTTTCCCTCCCCTTTTTTCTTCTAATTTTAAATATATCTTATACTTTCTTCCCGAATTTGAAGAGTCTAAGAAATAGCAATTTAAAAGAATTATTTTATTGTTTATTATTTATTTACAAGACGTAGTAAAAAAGTACTTACTTTTAAATTATATCATTTCTTGCATGAAGGAGAATCAAAAGTGACCCAAGTATCGTAAATACTTTTAAAATAATCGTATCTGCGAGAGCCAGCCAGATCATCGTACCAAACTTTTCGCAATATCACATTTATTCGGGTGAATCCGGGTCCAAGGGAAGTTTGGACGAAAAGCGAAAAACATCCCGCTGCTAAAATTTCAAATTTTTATTACCATTAAACGAGGATTCTTTGGACGGGGGAATGTAATTGCACCATTTTTTGGCCACAACGCGGTCATAAGCCGCCCCCGTCTCTTTCCATCCTCTATGATTATCTTCGACGGGTGCAGATTGCACATTGCACCCCATCCATCCGTTTCGATCGTCATTTAAGATGGAAACTTTTCCATTTCCAACTGGAACGCGACACGACACGACACGAAGAAAAATTTACTTTGGAACTCGTCCTTCAATTGGTATTCCGTTTCCAAAGGGTTTGTTGGCCCGTTACGTTCGTAATATCAGGCGATCGTGTCGGTTATGCAACGTAAGTTTGGCCAAGATAACGTGCCAAAGAAAAAAAAGAAAGAAGAAGTTCCAAAGAATTTTTTATTTTTCTTCATTTCTCAATTTTAATGGAGAAATCGTATTGTCGAGAAGTTGCAGAGAAAATCAACGATTGGCAGAAAAGTATCGTATCCAAAGATAGGATACCATAGGATTATTGAGAAATTCCAATGTAAACTGAAATCAATAAAATTCAAGAGTTAATTATCACAAGGATAACAATTAATTGATAATAATAGTCAAGAAGTATTTCAATTTTGTTCTTTTTAATTATTAAGAAATTAATATTTTATCAATTTTAATTATTTTATTCTCCTTAAATAATCGGTTATCGAATTTCGAAAAAGATATTATACAATCAAGAAGTTTCAGAAGAAAGTGAAATCGACGCGTCGATTGGATTCGTTAAATTC